GCAGTTTATTGACCTACTGCTTAGCAATTGCATTAATTAAGCTTCAGGCTAACAGCCAGTCGAGATCAACTAACTTAACTCCAAGTACATCCATAATGATGAACCTTAGGCATAAAATACTTTGAAGAACCAGAACCAGAAAACTTAGCATCACTTCTTATATGGGCAGAGTTGAGTCTCTAAACAATAAACTGACTAGTTTATCAAAGAATATATGGGATACTGAAAGCATCGCAACGCATAGAAACCTGCTGAATGGATTACAAATTCCTGAAAACAATTTACATTAATTCCCTGAAAGTTATCCGTGGATCATTCTTTAACCAGTTGCGTCAAAAAATTGACATCCATTGCACTTCACAAGATTTGCACAGCGCATTAAACGGATTCAACAAAGAAAAGAATGGCTACATTCAAGTTGCGAATACATTATCACCATTATTAGTTATATGAATATTTTTCCCTTCAGTTCACTAGTGGTACACAGGGCTTCAGCAGCACGCCTCCATTCCACTCTGTTCTCTGCAATCTTTTGAACCTGGCTCATGACAGCCTACAAGTCTCATTTCTTCCTAACATGCTCCCCTCAATATCATACTCACGTCAGACGCCCAACTCGCCGTTTCCAATCTGGGTTCCACTTGAGCACCTAGCCTCCCTGATTCCGGCGAGGAATAACTTTGTTTTCATTTTTGTATTATGAATGCATAAAATACGTGTTTAATATCTGAAGATGATTTAACAGTGTTGCACATTTTTCAGGTCTATACCTATTTTGTAACTCAAACTTTTAGTTGCCTTCAATTATCGATACTAAGACTTCCTATTAGCAAGACTTTTCAGATGGACCATCACTAAAAGTAAATAAAACCCTTAATGCTGTATGAAAACTAACTTGTATAGAATGCTGGTGTACAGATGTCTTTGTATTGACTTATTGACATTCAACCAAGGCTACCTAATTTCTCTGACACTCTTCGACTTCACCCCTAAAGAGTCAAGGTAGAAAAGGTTACTTGGTGGCAGTGCAGACCTCCTACTAAGGGAAATAACATTAAACTGTAAATATCTGAATGATGTCATCATAATATACCAAAAGAGATGCAATACCCTCATATCAATTATTCCGCTGGCGTTTAGTGTACTTAGATCTACAATTTTTGAGCTTTTAAAGCAAGAAGTACTTCCCCACGACCGGCAAAACTCTGCATTTTTATTCAGCCTTCATTGTGAGTTGCTTAAAAATGTCTTTAAGTTTGTAAGCTCCCTAACCTTTTATTTAAAGATAGTATGGTCACTTTTTAAACCACCGCATTTTGTGTTTAATTATGATTCTGGAAAACATGTTTTCATGTACAACTTTATCGCAATTAATCACATCCAGCGGTGAACATATATATGTATTTTTGCAATCCAGTGGTATGTGTTTAGGTAAGATGGAAAACAGGAGAGAATAAATGGGAACCTAAAAACTTGACTTAAGTTGCTTGAATATATATAATAGATACCACCTATTTCTGGCTAATCTTTCCAATGGCCTGATGGGTCAGAGATTTATTCAGCCTCTAACATAAACCTGTAGAATAAGATGGGTAGCCGGGGTGCATTTGAACTCTGAGAATCGTTAAGGATCCCTGAGTGAGACTTAAGTTATCGAATGACTCAGCAGCTCATCAAGTATGACCTAAGACGTGCACTGATAATTCACTATCCGAACTAGACAGCCGTATGCGTCATAAATATACTAAATAATGTAGTTAATCACAGTATTTTTTATGCGATTACTGATTCCAGATGATATACCTTTATCATTTTTAAAATCTTCAGAAAAGAACAGGGGGTTATCTCAAGATAAAAACATCACAATTCAAGATTTTTCAGATTTCTGATGTTCGACTGAAACCATAGTATGTCACGTCTTAAAAACAACCAGATATAGGAGCCAGAAGCAGACATATTGACTGGAATTCTGGTCTTCACAATTGTTCTCGGAACTAGGTATCTTTCTTGACTTTATGGTGACAGTCAGGTTATCCTTTAGACTGTTATGACAGGAGTGTCTCACAGTGTAAAAGGTGGCTGAGTTGTGTAACATCTTACTCATTACTCTGCTGCAAAATTTCTGCACTCTGATGCAGTACTGTTAGCCACCATCCAGAATACCTCCATGAAGCTCTTTGCATACCCAATAACCTCTGTTCATACATCGTTTACTTCCTAACTAAATTAAAGTATGCAAAAGAAATAAGGCTCCTGATTCAAGTCACTGACAAGATTCAGTGTTGCTCAAAGCATTTGAGAATATTTTTGAATTCATATGTTACCTTCCAAATCCAGATAGCTGCTTCATGACTATTGAGGGTTAATACTCCATTTAAAGACAGGCAGGCAATAAAGTGGTTAGATACACTGATTATTTCATTAGTCTAAAAAATCACATCAGCTCTGGTGAATTAACGACCAGCAAAATCTTAGCAGGAATACAAATGGATTGATTAGCTTCTACTTGTCTTTACTACTTGTTAAGCTACCATGTTGTATGTTTACCTAGTAAAGGTTGAGTGTATCGCTCGACAGCCCCATTTAAGTAGCGTTAGAATTGGGCATGATATAACTAGTATAAAAATCAAATCAGACAATGAGGTAGTTCACATTCATATTTGATATGTCTAAAACATGCCTTAGGCATTTTGAAACTTCCTAATACAATCATAAACTGGTACCTAAAGTAAGATTATGCTTGGAAACAGTTTAGAATAGCTATACTAATCGGAAGTGACAACTTATGAAGTGCCTGACAGAAAGGTTCAGTAATGTAGGCAAATACTGGCTTTCTGGTTACAGTCTGAGACATGACCTTCACCAGTGCCAAAAGGTACTGCTTGATATAACTCAGAATCGGTCTTGTTGCCACAAATACATTACTTTTTTACCTAAATCTATTCATAATTTCAACTTTTTTTCTTTATGACTGCTTTTGTCAGATATCCGTTCAAGATTTCTGATGCCCAAATCATTCTGTCGTTCGTCCGATCAACTTCTGACCAGATTCCTTTGTATGAGTTATGACAAACTGATCCGATATGCAACTATTCCAAATCTTATTTTCTTTATATATTAAGACAACTTTAGCACCATAAGTACATCGTATTCCATACTATAAATCGGCCAGAAACAAGGCGTTACCATCTTCTCAAGAGCTCAGTACTTCAAGTGTAGAAACTAGAGTTGAAAAATATATTAAATAAGTTCTTAAATTTTATATCTTAGCACTGGTAATATATCTTTTCTCTGTTGTTTAAAGATACTTCTAGCTGTCCATTGCTACGCTCAGTCGAACTGATCTACCTCTTTTCACAGATAAACTCATACACGGATGCCTAGATACTGCCAAAATATCCATTAATTCTAGTCTGCTTGTTGGCCAGCAATGGGATCTAAGATGAGGCATCCTCATAACAGTTCATCTACCAACAGAGATAGATCAGTCAGACCCAGTGTAGCGTCAGTAAATCACAAGTATCTATAAAAACACTGATGCCAGTTGTCGAGGGGGTGGTTGTCATCCCCTACAGACCAAGTGGATAACACCTCGGTGCTTGAAGTGATGGTTACTTGGTTAGGACTTCAATGAGAATAACATTACACACTGGGATGGCGATGCATCCAGCTCACCAGTCCCAAACAGGACAAAGGTGTGTTCTGGATTCCACTTCTAGTCACCAACTAGACTGCTCTTTTTTCTTTATTCTAATATTTTTGCTCGATGACAGCAGTTTGGTTGCAAGTAAGTACATGCGCCGATTGTCGGTATCAAATAACAGTAAATCTTAAAATCCACCATATCAAAGTCATAAGTCTCTGAACGTAGTTCCCTAACCTATAAGTCTAATTGAAGCGTCAATATCACAAAACACTTAGTCAAAATACTGTATTCAGTAACTGAACAGTTCAACTACAGTTCTGTCTTCATACACAATAAACTACAGAAGATCGTTTAGGTTTCAAAAAGATCTTAGTTACCTTCAATTCACCAACATTCTTTAATATAAATTAGGATTTTCAAGAAAGCATCAACTTCTGCAAACATACAAGCCAGTTTTCCAATGAATAGAAACAGTTGTGTGAAACCTGGTGTTTAAATTTTGGCATCCAGCCAGTTAAGATCAAATACCGAGATCCCCAAACAAGCAATTCACAATCGTTTAGTCAAAACACAAACAACAGTACCGATTTACTCTTGAATTCAAGTGTGTGTCACTAAGAGAAAGCAGTCAGAAACCAACCTCAAACTCTCATCCCTATTCATACCGCATTTATTCACTGTATCACACAAACTTTTTCAAAAATAACACAAAGAATGACTGAATTTATAATCTTATGTTTTCTAAATAACTGTTTCCGGAAACTTCAAGTTGCCTTTTAGTTGCATTTAAATCTGTCCAAAGATTTTGCACCATTTGCAAGTCGATTAATCGTTTTTCTTGAAAGTATAAGTTAATCAGTGCTTGAATTTGCACACTACAACTGGCTCACTTGTGAAGTCATCTTACTTGGCTGGGGAATGGGTCTTCAGAAGTAGTCACCGATTAACTCCTGAACCTGGCTAGTTGTCTCCTAACTATGCAGGTAGTAAGGGCTGAAATACTTGGAAGCTGCTGCCTATCTTCGGTGGGAAACGGGTGGTATTAGAGCAATCCTAAATATGAGATACAGTTGCTTTTCTTAGGACAAGTACTTTCTACCGTCCTTGTTAAGGAGATGAGGGTAGAAATCCAGGACTTTGGGCCCTTCTCTGTTAGCAGGAGTGCACACCCTGTTGTGCATATTATTTTCATGCATATGCGTCAGTAACGTTGAGTCAACTTGAAAAACTCAGGAAGGCCTGTAAAACGGAATTAGCTTACTTGTGAAATCTTATTTCCTAATCCTGAATCATGCTCATGCTCAGCAAATCTGGAAAAAATTAATTATCAGAACCAACAAAAATTACACAAATTACAACGATAAAATTATATTTATTTCAAACACTTTCCATTAAAATCATTCACAAATACAGTAAGAACAAAATAATTTCTTATTTTCTTTGTTGTAAACTTTCTTTTGTTGTCACTGATATTGTTTTTTGTTGTTCAAAGTGGTCCTCTCAATAGGTAGTTCATTTATATTCTTCATCAGTCAGTGAGTTCACTGAATAAGGATGTGAACGTTTCCCACTGTAAAAGCACGATGATAAACAGACTAAATGAGAAAACGTTTTTTTCCTTAAAATTATTACAAAACTGAGAGAATTTATACAAAAATAGAGTATCTATGCTTGTTGAAATTTTAGTCATTCTGAAAGAGTAAACAAAACTCATTTTTCTGCAGTGACAATAAGGATGAAGCGTCATTTTTGTCACCATAGTTACAATGATAGCAAGACTATTTTGTGAAGTGAGAAGTACAATGAGTAAACTTTCTCAGTCAGTAAAATGAAATGAAAATTTGTCAAAACAATTTAGACCATCATATAAATATATATAACAGATGAGTTTATAACTAGCATTGTCGTCCAGCTTATATTAGAACTGAAGCGAGCTTTTAAGATTCAAGCACATGTGAATGTAAACATATTAGCTTTGATAAAACAGTGCGATCCAATGCCCTCTATGAGGTATACCTGTGATCTATCTAAGGTTATGGGATAGAAATAGTACCAAACAGGACTGACTGACTAAGAGTTGTGATAATAAACTTCTAGTCAGGCAACTAATTTTACAAAAAGCTCTCAAAAAACCGCCGTCCCGTAAAACCTTAAATTTAAAAACGGTATTCACCATTTAAACAGTGAGCGAATTCATAGGATTTCACTTATGAAAACAAATATTAGATGAACGTTTGGTGAACAATTAGTGAACGAATGACTCGTTGGTTCAGTAGTTCACTAGTCACCAGTCGGTCCTAACCCCGGGTAAAGAGGGAAGGTTGACTGTACGGCTGGCAACCCTACCCCGTAAAACCAATCCAACCGCTACAGAAACTTCAAAGAAGAGACAAAATATAAAAATGAAAACAAAGTTATTCCTCGCCGGAATCAGGGAGGCGAAATGATGCCGGATGGTGAAAGACTTCGAGAAGCCGATTGGCCAATGTGTCTTCTCTCTCTCTCGATGAAAGCGAAAGTAAACATGAGGACATGGAATATCCGCACAATGTTTGAACCTGGAAAGGCAGTCCAGATTGCAAACGAGATGAGAGGGTATTGTATAGAAATGCTAATAATCTGCGAAAGTAGATGGAATGGAAGCGGACTCTCCAAACTCTCAACTGGAGAGTCAGTAATCTACTCCGATATTGTCACCCGAACAACAGACACGCGCAAACTGAGTTTTGGAGTGTCTATCATGATGTCTCCAAGAACATTGAAGGCTCTCACACAGTGGGAACCAATCTGCTTCTGCAGGATCAGGATCATGACAGCAAGATGGATTCGACTCGAAAGGAAGGAAAGTCACAATCATTCAATGATTCGCTACGCACCTACAAATAGTGTGGACCAAGAGAAGCGGAAGGAATTCTACAGACAACTGAAATCAGTACTGGACAAGACTCCAGTTGGCGACATCGAACTTCCAATGGGTGACATGAATGCCAAACTGGGAGAGGACAACACAGTGAGAGAGCTAACCATGGGTAGAGGAGCACTGAGGGAAGTGAATGAGAATGGAGAACTGTTCGCAGAATTCCGCTCATTCAACGACTTGGTGGTTGGAGGGAAGCGGTGTGTTCAGGCACAAGGATATCCACAAAGTGGCATGGATTTGACTTCACCAGACACCGTGACACACTGAAAATCAGATCGACTCGATCTCAATGTGAAGGAAGTGGAGACGCAGCCTTCTTGACACAAGGTCAAGAAGGGAAGCAGTTGTAGGTTACGACCACTCACTATTTAGAGCGAGGAAGCTTCAACATCAAGTAGAAAGGCTTCAAGGAAGTTGGTGATAGAAAGAAGTTCAAGTTCAACACCCAGAACTGAAAGTGAAGGACAAGCTACAAAGGCATCTTCACGTCAGCCATCAAGATGAAGTGGAAGATATCGAGGAACATTTCTGAAGAAACCTGTGTGAATGAACACAAGAACTCTTTGGAAGCTATGTAGGAGGAAACCTGCATGACCTTGTTAGGAAGGAAGAAGAAGTGCCGAGAAAATGAATGGATCTCAGTGGATACATGGAAGCTGATGGAGGAGGGAGATTAAGATGATGAAGCAGAAGATGAGCCAGTGCAGTGCAAGGAATAACAATGAAAAGAAGAACTGAACACAAGCCATAAAACACTGGACAAAGAAGTGAAGAAGAATGCGTGGAAAGACAAAACACAATTCTACGACACACTGGCAAGTAAAGCAGAACAGGCTGCAGGACCAAATGGAATCCCACCGGAGAACTGAGAACAGATGAAGGGACAACAGAGGACACGCTCACACATCTATTGCAGAAGATCTGGAAGGAAGGGGAAGTACCCTGCCATTGATTGGAAGAAGGGCTATCTTGTCAAACCCCCAATGAAGGCAGACTTAAGTCTTGGCAAGAACTGGGGTATGAATCAAGCTGCTGTCCACCCAAAGCAAGCAAACTATTGAGCTGCATCATCCTAGAGAGACTGAAGGATGCACTGGATTCAAGACTACGAACGGAACAGACTGGTTGGCTGGCTTCAGGAAGTACAAATCATGTGAGGAACTGGTTGTAGCACTACGATTCATCATGGAACAGAATATAGGATGGTAGTCAACTCTCTACCTCAACTTCATCGACTTTAAAGAGGCCTTCGACAGTGTTAGGGTTAGTGTAATTCGGCAACTGCCTCAACACTACGGAATACCACAAACCTCTATCAATCTCATTCAACAGCTATATGAAGACGCCACATGCCACGTAATTCACAACGGAAAGCTCAGTGACGCCTTGAAGTGAAGACAGGAGACAGGAGTAAGATAAAGCTGTCTACACCGATGATCACCGATGATCTTCCTGATTGTGGTGGATTGGATCATGCAACAAACCGTGAGCATCGAGAAGATGGCACACGCCTGCTGGACCGATGAAAAGATCCTAGAAGATTTCGATTTCGCCACTGATGATTTATGTCTAATGTCTTGTGACACTAACTTGAAGATCTACAGGCTAAAACTAACAATTTGACAGAAGGGGCAGGGCAGCGAAGACGGGACTTAAGTGAATGTAGAGAAGACAGAGGGGATGAAGATACCCAACCAACAACAACAGCAACAACAAGTACCAATCACCATGAACAGGAGAAACCTAAAGGAAGTAGTCTGTTTCACTATCTAAGCAGCATCATTCCAACTACAGATGGCACAGGCATAGACGAGGATGTCAAAACCAGGGTCGGAAAGACAGCAAGATAGGCTTTCACTAATCTGAAACCAATGTGGCGATCTACTGCACTCTGCACAAAGAACGAGATCCGGATTTTAACACCAATGTCAAGTCAGTGCTTCTATGTGATGATTGAGAGACTTGGCGTGTTACGAAGAGCATTTCCAACAAACTGCAGATATTCATCAACAACTGCCGCCCACGCTGGCTCGTTGCTATTTTTTACTGGTGTCAGAAGTACATATGTTGGTCAACAGTATTAGTAGCTGGAGATTGCTAAAATTATTCTACTGATTTTGTTAGCTGGGTATGACGAGTCTGAACTCTGATAACGCTCAGAAAGGATTCACCTGGAAAACCTCAGCTTAGACAACTAAGCTCTTCTAAACAAGTAAATCTGTCTAGTGCGCAAACCGTTAGACAACTCCTGAAAAGCAGGTAGTTAGCAGACTACTATTTTATTCACCATCAAAACTCGACAAGATTGCCCGTTTCAAATTTTTCTTGCATAAAAAAATGACTAGATGGGTTACACTTAACTAGAAAATAAGGAGCTGAATAAATGTAAAAACAAGTGCAATTTCATTATTTGATATAAGTTTGTATAGGTTGTAAAATGAAACTGCATTAAGTGCAGATAAACGTACACATCTTCAAGCCATTTAGCACTGTCTTTAAGTTTTTGCAGACGAAGCAGTTCTTGGAACCGAAGACCGTTCAGCATACGTTTTCCCGGTTCGTGCAAAATTTCTTCTCTACAGTAAAAGAAAATGAAGTGAATTAGTATACTGTAACCTTCAATAAATGCATCTTGAAATACAGTTACTTAGAAATTTTCGTGTATAATGCTTCAATCACTATATCCATTAGAAGCATGAATTTTCAGAAGAATCATTCTAGAAATGAAAGATAGAAATATACGCTTACAAGTGAAGCGGTAAGGAGAATTTCACATAGGCAATCATTGACTTTTGTAAGCTTTTTATTTTGCAATAACAATGGCTTCTGTACCCACCGTCCGCTCCTTTACTTCATCCAGTTAGTTTCTGTTGGTAAGATAGCCTTCATTTTGCAGACATAAAAATCGTAGAATCATTAATGAAGTAGTAGGGGAATTATATACCCCTTCACAACTCTTATGAAGACTAATTTTCTTGTTTTAGCTTCAGTAATCCCCCTTATTGCTCAAAAACGTTTCAATGTTTTGGTACTTTTATCTTCGAAATGGATCATTATTGACAAGTTAATGATTAGATAGGAAGTGAAAACCTGCCTAACAGCAGGACTAGAACCGAAGGTGCTCAGGTTGCTGGCCTAACTACGAGATGCAGCTATTGGCCAGTTCTAAACTTCACTTCAATCACCAAGCACAACTGGGCAAAGCCGTTTGGTGACTGCATAGAAGTTAAGACCTGGTCAGGATAATTAAGGCTGGTAATATGAAGGTTATTCTTAGGTAAGTAGCATAGTAACTGGTACAGTAAATGGAATGCTTTATCAAAACAAGTTACTTTTTAAACGTTATTCAGTGAATTTTACTGTTTCACTGTAGGACATTCATAATACACAAACCCAAAGGTAATCAGAATGTTTTATTACAAACAGACGTATATTAATGTTGAACTGCCGTTCATTGTTCAAGACACTTGACTTTCCACTAGTGTGTCACGGGTTCGAACCCAGGCTTACCTATCGACGTTTTAATAGGTAGATAGTGTCATTAGTTCTTATACAACAGGTGTTACTTATTTCCCAAGTTCACCAACGTGTATGGGCTACTGAATGGATTCTGAATTTTATTATATTAATCTAAGATTTGCAGGCTATAGCAGAGCCAACCTTTTTGATGGATTTTGAACAATAAATGAAAATTAATTTTCATCGTAATATATTTTTTTTAAATTTCACTTGTTCTTATAAATGGAGTAAAACAAATAAGCTATATGCTTTCAAGTTTAAAACCACTATCTTTCCTAAATTAAATTTTCTGCTTAATATGTATTTCAGTAATACGTCGGCATTAATTATGACTGAATGAATGCCTTATCGAATATAGGTTACAAAGCATTTAGCTAATCAAAAAAGATTACAGTAATAAAAAGACGATGAGTGACCAATTTTGGTCTACTTTTTAAAACTTATCTGATTTAATCAGATTAAATGATCTGATCATTCTTCAGACAACCAACATTATATCATTTATCTCTTTCATATATTAATTGTTGAAGATCAAAAGTTTATCACTATTCCTGCTTTTTATTACTCAGCTATGTTTTTCGAAAAAAATTTACCTCTTAGCATATCTGAAATTGAGAACAGTGTGTAAAAATTTGTTTAATTCACCTGAAGCTAAACAATTTCAATGCCTTTTATTTGTTTATCTAGATTCAAAGTGGATTGTAACTACACGGTCAGGAATAAACATACTTTCTTTGGTATTCCTTCAGTGTGAAGTTAGTTTACGAATGACACTGAAGGCGACTTTTCCAGCCATTGAAATAACCAACTGAGTTTATCTTATTTTGTATAAAAAGTTAGATATTTCCTAGACAGTAAGAAAACCTAATGGGTTATAATCGTAGAGTTGCTTTTGAGAAGAACAGAACTGTGTGTATCATAATTTAGATTCTGCAAATAATTTGGATTAACTGAACAATGCAAAAAATGTAAATGTATTTATAAGATAGCAGAGAAGGATAAGGATGATATGCGTTTAGCTTTCTCCAGCCTTTGTGGTTTGTCACTGGACATTTCATCAAATGGCTAGACTAACTCACTAACTTTTACTTCATATTTATTTCAAAGACCAAGGAAAGTGTACTACTTCTTTGACTAAACAATATGTGTGTTTAATTACTGATCACCACGAACTATCCAAGAACGTTAAAACTTCATTCAAAGATATGCTAAGTAGCTTATTTATCTCTTTAGTGCTTTAACACAATATTCCAATTTTAAATGTTTTATGAAAATATTTTCCAGGTTGACCTCATTAACCAACCATTTAGCAACCAACAAACACTGAGCAACATTTACTGATGAGTTAACACAGAAATATATGGTACTAGTTGTAATTCAGTGAAGGACATGGAACTTGAACGCACGGTACACTCATTTTAAGAGAATATGTCAATCAGATAAATGTCTTTAGATAACCAAGACACTTTATATGTAGAAGAAGGGTAATTGTTGCCACGAGACTGCGAGAATATGTGAACATCAAAGATGTAGGATGTCTAACGGATGAAGTCTTGATCTATGACTTTCACTTATAACTCAACCATAAGCCCGTAACCTAAATTTTGTCTGGTAATGCCTTTTTTGAACAGATCTATGATTCATTTAGTCATTGAGCTGCAAATATTGAACTGAAGGTGGAAAGGGATGCAGTCAACGTTGTTCTTTTTTCCCGTTTATCGATTTTATGTATACAAAAAATAATTACTGAGTCGACAATCTAGACATTAAATGCACATTTGACCAGCGATGTTTAACCGATAAAAGTATACAAAAGTTGGTTAAACCGCTGCTTAAATTTCCTGTTATGTAATTGACTAATTATTGAAGTTAAAAAAGAAATGAAATATTCAAGCTAGAAAACTATGGTGGGAAACATCATATAAATTTATAGGAGCACATTTTTGTCATCAGTAATATGCTTGTTACTACAGTTGTTTCATCGTTTACTGGTCAAATATGAGCCTAATAAAATATCATATCTGCGTTGTATCGATAGTCACTAATTAAAGCCCTTTTTGCTAAAAATCCATTTCATACTTTCTCCCCTTTTCATATTCTCCTAATAGGAGATATTCAGACTGAACTGAAGTAAACAATAGCAGGATTCGGCTACATGGTTCTATAAAAATTGTATCATTTGTTGAAATGCTGTGAAGAAATATCTTACCAAAATAATCACTGCTAATAATGTAAACAGAAAATGTTTCCGAAAATAGAAAATAATAATTTTCCATTATTACTTTATCAATTAAAACCTTTGATAAGGAACATCTATTTGATAGTGTAGGGGATAGAATCGCTTTAAAGTTCAATGTACTGAATAAGAAATCCATTAAATATCTTCAGAAAATTTGTTACGTTTCAACTAGTGGATACAGCTGATGTTTCCATGGTCATCTATACCTTTAAAGCTTAAAATACATATTTCTTTTCATCGTATGTTTAGTCTATAATTTTTTTTAAAGATCTGCTGAACAGGAACTCTTCCCAGAATAGTAACACAGTGTACTTGACTCGAACCCAAATCTGAGATATTCTTCATGTGGTATCTTAGTATAAAAACCTCGCGATTTTTTAATCTAATCGAATTAGAGAGCTACTTCGCAAAAATATTTTCATATATTTTTCAGTGTGAACGGTAATGCCCATGAAATCAAGCGTCACACTCCAGGCCACTGAGATAATTTCATCTTGAATGAGATTATGAATGTTTATTTCAGAACAAGTTACTAATACAGGCAGTGTTAAACTACTACTGAACATTTTGAATTCTAGATGTTGTAGAAAAAGTTCATCATTGAATAAGCTTCGTTTGTCAATCTTCTTTAAGTAATACTTCCATGGTGAATGATATCAATTTCCTTCCAGTGCCGCGGCCACAAAACAAATAGTAATAATTCAGACATCAGTTAAGGATTGATGGAGTAGGGAAAAACTGCTTATCTCTCCTCATTCTTGTTTGGGTTTACAATTCTTATACAATAAGAGAAGAAGCAACTGTTAGTATCCATAGTAGACTAACATGCTAGCAAAATATTTCCCCTGGAATCAGTAAAATATAAATTTGAATCCTGAATTCTTGAATATTGCGAATCCCCTAAAAGTAAGTGGTCAAAAAACTCATCAAGTCGAACAAATATTCTGGAACTGTGATTTCGACATCATTGCTTTCTTACAAAGACTCAGCCGCTACTTCCGACGTAAATTTCGCTGAAACACAAAAATGCATGGATGTGATCCATATTCCTACGATATGATTACATTTTCACACAAATTAAGACAAAAAACGTTCTTGAGATAACATGCATATTGTGAATACTAGACCTTAATAGTATTTAAACTAAGGCTCTGTTTTGTTATGCAGATCAAAATTACTTTTTCTGAAAACTTCACTCCCTTTTCGCCTCTTGAATGCAGACGAAGCATACTACTAAGTATTAATTGGCAGAAACGTATTTTATGTTAACTGTTTGGTTATATGACTGAAAATTCCCTGCACTACCGTCCCAAACATCTCTCTTAGGTTAACTTTCGTCCAAATATTCCGCACTAATTATTTCTAGCTTATAGTAGCTACAAGTGGTCATATATAGGCTGTTTGTGATTTGTGAAGTATAATACAGAGATATATACAGTTCACCCCTCAAAATAAAATAGTTCACTTCAATTATTTATGAGAAGGTTAATACCATCGTACAACAAATGCATAACAGAAGTTATTTTCAGTCATAAAACTAACTCGATAAGTGGTATTGAAATCTAATTAGGAGTGTATTTGTAAGAAGATGAAGCTTTGAGTAGTTTTATTAAGCTAAAAAGACTGAAACATGTTAGACGTGTTATAACCTTAGAAGTTAACGACTTTAGAAGCTGTTCATATTTCATAAAAAGAGAAAAAGGTAGAAGAACAGCATTCGTATTTAGTGGATTATTGTTCGTAGTGTACACTGTGGAAAATACCCCGAAGTCATAGATAAGAGTTCTGATGAATTGTAGTTTTGCTCTAGTCGATGAA